GTGAAATGAATTTATGTGAATTCTAGTTTTAGATGTGAAATACAAATGGGAAATTAATTTTTTTAATGAAGACGTTTGTCTCCATAAATTTAAGTTATTTAGAGTTGATCAAATCAAGACTGTAAGACATGTATTGTAGATATTTTAGTTCTCTTAGCTTATGACGTCTCATTTGTCCTTTCAAATACTTGATTCATTTTTTCTCAATGGCCAACCACACGGAGAGAAATTTTTTAGAAAAATTCTAGTGCTAGCCCGGGAAAAGAGGCGCAAAGTGACGGCCAGTAAAAAAGTCCAGTGCCGGCACTAGAAATTTTATTGGGAAAACGTGAATTTTTCCCCGTATTTCTGTGAAAATTTCACAGAAATCCCCAGAAATTTTACCAGAAATACCAAGAAATTCTACCTCAACACGTGACTCGTACATGACTCGTACTAGAATTTTTCTAGAAAATTTCTCTCCATGCATGTTGTATGAAAAACAACAATCATTTTTTCACTGATAATTTTAGTTAAGTTAAACATAGCGGTCATGAAGTAAAATTCAAAGAGAGTTGAGAGAATGAGCGTAGAAAAATTTAGTGATAGAAAATACTGATGAAATGTATTTTTCCTCGGAATAATATTTAAAGATTTCAACGCCCCTCGGATCTTGCTTTTAACCGTCTTGTTTTTGGACAGAAATAAACGCCTCATTTTAAGGCATTCGAAGTTGGACACTTTTTTGTGTCTAACGCCTTCAATTGAGGCATCTTGCTGACACTAGTTTTCACAGTACAATATCTGTTAATGCGCCCTCATCAATTACTTCAATTCGTAATTAAGAATTTTCTCCGCATCACATTAACCTCTCGTTCCTCGCGCGCAAAATCCATTAAAAACCTCGAGTCTGTGAATTCCTCCATCTCCGGTGGAAAATAGCTTCCACCCCACACATGAAAGTGACGTTAAGTAGACGAGGATAACTCGATTATCGAGAATAATAAAATTGACACGGCAAACGTGGACTCGAGCCGGTAATAATCGTCGGAATAACATTCAGGCGCCCTTCGTGGCCATTAAAAAGTACCGAATGAAAAGAACCAATTAAACCTCCTCGTCCTTTAGTTTCGAGATAAATTCCTCGATAATATTCTTCATCTAATACGAAATGCACGCACTGAGAAAAAAAATTGCTTTTGCCTACTTGGCACAAGTAAATATGTGAAAATAGTTGCATAAGACGTGTGTGAATTTTTTGGTAGTTAGTAAATATATTTGGCAAAAGCAATTTTTTGCTCAATACACTGAGAGAAAAATTTCCTAACGCTTGGACCATATTTACTTGAGAGAAGTTAATTATTTTCAATGGCTTGAATCTCACTATCGCTCTGCGTTACGTCATGAATACATTACATACTGTTAAAAATTTTTGTCTGAAATTTATAAAATTTAATTACCACTGAATTTTCAAGGAATTTCGTTATTGAAAATTCAGAATTTCGTGGAAAAATTGAAGAGAACTGTAAATTTCCATTCCATTTTTTCCTGGAAATGAATGAAAAACCAGAAAATTCCGGTAAATTTATTCTTGAATTTTCAGAACAGTGACACTGAATGCGATTGAGAGGTAAAAATAATAAATTTTCAGATTTCACTGAAAATTCATATTGGATTGGAAATTCAAAGAAATTGAGGAATTCTCGTCTTTGTGCTGCTTAAAATTCTAGAATTTCATTGAATTTTCAGTGAAACCTGAAATTTTATTTTTTTTCAGTGCATGAATCAATAAATACTTCAAGATTAACGATTCTTCTACGCGATTTGAATGAGTTTATTTGCGCCAAAATCATACTTGCGTACAAGAATATTTTAAAACACGAGACCTTTCTCAGGTCATGTGAGTCAAGACACCTGGGAGAATCGAGAGATTGAAGGAAAATTATTTATATCACGTAAATACGCTTCAGATATTAAAAATATTTTTTCTCAGTGCACCTGAAGCCCTGCTGGTTCACATAAACAGCACAATGAAATCCTAACGGGGGAGTACAACTGGAGGCGCATAATAAAATGCTCGAAATGAGAGAGAATATTCTTTGTGAAATGTTACAAACAATGCAATTTTCTTCTGTCATTGGTACACCACTTCGGTGAGAATCTAATGCACTTGGGGGAAAAAGTACCAGCGATGAGCGATCCAACAATTCAAAGTATATGGTGATGTAAAATTTTGCACATCAAACGTGAGGAACGTTGAGAATGAAAAAATAATCAAAAGTGGAGGGCGTCGGGAGTGGGGGAGGGAGAGGGGGATGAAAGAATGCGGAGTATAAGGAGAGAATGTTGAGGACGGGGCTCGTGGTCTTGAGACCCTCGACGCTCTCTCCTGTAGCGGTGCATTTTTTAATCTCGAAAAATACTCCCTTTTGTAGCTCGTTACGACGTCTGTGAGATCACGAGGAGAGTTGCCAGGGGAGGGCGAGGGAATTTACGTGGCGCAGGGAAAAGGGCTTGGATTATGCCTCGAGCTTTCTCCAAGAGGGAACCTGTTGTTTTTTTTTTATAATACAAGGAGAAACTTCTTGACATTTTCTTGTATGAATAATTAAAGGGGCTGAATCAATGTGTGAGGGCGAAAACATGGAGCAGAATTTTTTTTACAATTTTTTTTGAATATTTGATTCACGGAAAAACGATATACTTAAGTCAAGTATATTTTATACTCAATTGGGGGATAGATAGGTATTTCAATTCGAAGATGATTCTTTTGTATCAGGCCGGGTTGTAGCAAGCCCTCTCAAGTATAATATAAGGGTCAGGCACTGAGTGTCAGAATGTAAGGGTCAAAAAGTGGAGGTTCAAAAATGAGGGGAAGAATATTAAGGTCAAAACATCAGGGTCAGAATATAAAAGTAAAAAAAGTGGGTGTCAGGCAATGAGGGTCTAAATATAAGTCATACATTATGCTTGATCACCGTTTTTAGCCCTTATATGACCCTCATTGCCTGACACCCACTTTTTTTACTTTTATATTTTGACCCGAATTTTTTATCCTAATATTCTGACCCTCTTTTTTGTAATCCTAACATCCTGACCCTCTTTCCTTCACCTTTACATTCAGACCCTCAATTTTTCACTCTAATATTCTGACCCTCATTTTTTAACCTCCACTTTTTGACCCTTATATTCTCACACTTAGTGTCTGACCCTCATATTACACTTGAGAGCGCTTGGTACAACCCGGGCTGATACCAAATAATCATCCTCGAATGGAATATTTTATACTCTATTCAGCTATATTTTTTTCCTTGCGGATTGAGAGAATTTTTGGTATTTGAATTTAACCCTTTTATGTTGCATTTTAATATTGATTCAATAATTATAAAAATATCCAATAAAAAAAATTAATAATCAAGAAATATTCAAGTGCACACTGAAATAGTTACTTGAACATTGAAATTGAGAGCAATGAGAGTCTCCTGCAGACGAGAAGTGAACAATTATCACGAAAACTGAATCGTGTTGCTCAATTCTAAATTAAATATCCCCTCAATTAAAAATTTCCCCGGGGAAATTCTCATTGTCTTTGAATGTATTTGGAGACAGCTGTCTCCCAACATTTAGCACCGCTTAATCCCCAGTTGCGAGGGATCTTATTATCGCGTGAGAAAATCAACTTCTGAATTAGTCACAGCATAAGCATAACTCTGTCGCACGTTGATTTTCCGACTGTACGTGGCAATAGCTGTACACTCAATTTTCTATACATAGAGTTTATAGTACGAATAAGAGACTACCCAAGTTTCGTTAGTTTTCAACGGTTCATGTAACTTAGTTAACCCGAAGGAATCCTATTTAACCTTCTCGCTCGGTTGAATGTATAATTACGAAAAGCTAATTGGATTTTCATGTGCTGAGCGTCAAGTGTGACGCAAATTATCTACAATCTACCGTTTTATTTAATTGCCGAATTCATTTATCATTTTCAATACTTTTTCGTCGCGCTTTATTCGGGATATTTGGGTTCTACACTCGTTTTATTAATTATTTTTCATCAGGAGTTTATTGTTTAAATTGGCATTCTCTTTTAGCTCTCAGAAAATTGATTCTCGTTCGATTAATTAATAACGGAGAGATTTAGTATGAATTTAGCCAAGAGCTGTTCATATTTTTGATAATTAAATTCACAGGGATTTCAGAATGAAAAAAATAGTGTCTGAAATTGAGACGCATTTGTCAAACTTTTTAAAAAAACATTCGTGTCTCCAAATTTAAGTCCTCAAGTGTATTTATTTCAGACAGAAAACTGTCTTATTTCTAGACGTTTTGAACGAAAAGATTTTTTTATGAATTTATCGAGGAGCTATTCATAATTCTGATGATCGAATTCACAGACATTTCAAAATAGAGAAAATAGTGTCTAAAATTGCGATACGTCCAATTTTTTAAAATATTCGTATCTCCAAATTTAATTCTTCAAGCGTCTTTAATTGAGACAGAAAAATGTCTTATTTTTAGACGTCTCGAATAACAAAATTTATTATAAATTTATCGAGGAGCTATTTATAATTCTATGACGATCGAATTCAGAGAGATTTCAGAATAGAGAAAATAGTGTCTAAAATTGAGACACGTTTATCCAATTTTTTAACACATTCGCGTCTCTAAATTAAAGTCTTCAATTGTCTTTAATTTAGACAGAAACCCGTTTTATTTTTAAATGTTTCATTTTGTCTTGAATCACAAGCTATTTAAATACTATTCTTCAATCCAATTCCCCAATAATCTTCTTTAAAATTCCTCTTTTTCATTAAAAGAAAAAAAGAGGACTTTTCATCAATTAGAGATATCCGCATTACACCCTCGAAGCTCATTAAAATCTCGTTAAGGTCTTGATGCCTCTGAAGGACACCGACCAAGCATTCCAACAAGACGTCCCTAAGCTCCTTATTGCACGCTCCAACGAAAAACCGATGACTCGTGTCCCAACTATCCAACAATTCATTAAACCCACTCACCTGACTCTTTCCCTCCCCGACGGACGGCCTCATCGGTCGATAATTGCTCCCATTCAATATCTTCGCATTGTTGATGTAGATCTCCTCCTGTCCATTGACGTGGATTCGTGTGACCCAAAGCGGGGGATTGCCATCCAACTCCGACGAAATAGACTCCGGAAGCTCCCAAGTGGGTCTGGCTAAATTCGCTGCAACAGAGATTAGAAATCAAAATTAGAGCCCCCAATATTCACTATTGAAAGACAAATCAAATTTTGCAGACATTTCGGTCGAAATTTTCAGGAATGGGACAGTGAATTCAAATAAAACTTTGGAAAATGGTGTAAAAATGTGAAATAGTCTAAAAATTCAACGGAATTTCAAATTTTTATGCAGCGGAAAACGAGGAAATTCACGAATATTTTTTTTTCATCATATGTCCCAATTTATCAGCTGTTAAATTTTCATATTACAATAAATGATTTACTCATGTTCTAATTCCTATGCTCACGGAATCAGATTTTAATCATAATTACAATTCAATTCCTGCTAGAACACACTTTTTAGACTGTGAATTTCTGGAATTCAATGTTTGTTGATACTCTGGTAAAAGTGCGTGCCTACACTGTTATCAATTTTTATTTAGTTCACACGGTAATTCAATTAATCTGTTGTTCATCTCAATTTTGTATTTGGATATTAATATTATTTGTTCAAAGTGAAAAAATCGATCATCATTTTCACTTTATTGCATTCAGATTCTCCTATCCTTAACGTCAAAAATGTGAGACAATCTCATAATTCTAGCTATTAATTCTAATCAACTTTGAAAGCTTTAGGAAACGCAATATTGAGAAAGTTGAATTATTCCATTGTCCTCTGACCTAAATGATTTGGACAATTATGATTCGTTTATTCATGTTTCATAGAATGGGATTCATTCAGAAAATTCCATGCGAGATGATTGTGCTCATGAAAACCGCCTTACTTTCTCCATTCATTCGAGATATCCGTCATGTTCGAGTTCTCATTTTCGAGTCGAGATGTTGCCCATGCATTTTTTAGACAGGATTCATAGAATTGAATAAAAATTTTTCATTGTCAATTTTCATTTACGAATTCCCTTGAAATTGCAGTGGAACAGTCAGTCGATGAAAATTTCGGAAAAGTGCACTGGAAATTCTAGAAAAAAATTTTAAACACAGTTCATCACTTTTTATTCACCCTCATATATTGAATTACTCGGAAATAGTTGGAGCCCGGGTGTGAAAGGGGGAAAAAGTACATATTATTATGACATTTACGGAGAAGTTGGTGATGGTGGTGATGTTGGGGATGATATCAGGCGTGAAAATACCCGTTGGCTGGGAAAACTTTTCGCCGCGTCGGTTCAGATAAAAGTAACTTCGATTACACTGAAGGGAGACGCCGCTCGGAGTACACAAAATCAGGCGAGAGGGAGAGAGGAGGGACATACAGTGGTGATGGTGATAGTGACAATAAGATTGCGGTATCACACGTATATACGTAAAAAGGGGGACATTTTCTTGTTGGTTTCTCGATGTCATCATGCCCGGTGATGCTCCAACTCGCAGGTACTCCGGTTCCAATCGTCCGTGCAATCAGCAACAACGAGTGCTACGTGTCGAGCTGCCGGGGAAGTTGATGATTGCGGTTGGAGATATTCAAGTTTTAAGTTATCATTTGAAATTGTTTGGATGGGGGTCGGTAAAATTTTTCTTCAGGATATAAGTATTTTTTACAGTTTAGTAAAGACCACACCATTGACTCAACTACTTTTAATCATCAAATTTGTCAATTAAATTGCGGGAGAAAAATTTGAAAAAAATCATGAAGCTTCAGCGTCATTCAAATGACATTTTGCACAGAATTATTATTTTTTTAACATTCGTTGTTCATAAATAAATATCTGAAATTATTTAAACTTTCGGAAACCTCATTTATTTAGGCATGAAATCGATTTCTGGTAAAATTCTGAATACGAATAAATTTGTTACTATTCCAGACACGTGATTTTTACGGTTGAAAATTGGTTCCTCATAAATGATTTATAGAACATGCTCGTGACTTTCAAAAATAGCAATTTTTCAATTATTTCATCAATCTTCTTCCAGAACTAAACTTTCCCATTTTGTTTTCAGATTTTTAAAATGTTTTCTAACTGTTCAAAATCATTGTCCGAAGGGTCAAATGGGGCTCGAACGAATTTTGACCCTTATAGCGGAAAATATTTGCTCAACACTTTTTTATAAAAAAAAATAATAGAAATTTTTTTTTCTCAGTTTCCAAATTATGTTTCTCCGAAAATTTTCATAATAAATTTATTGATTGACAATCCATTTCACAATATTTGATGAAAAATCCTCTATTTTACAGCAAATACGAGCAAGCACACGTCTCGTACGGAAAGAGAGGAGCCAAAGAACGTGAGAAATCCGCTTCACTTTTCACCGTTACCGGAAAAATCGGGCAAAGGCCCTGCGGAGTGTGCACAAAAGCCGTCTCACAAACTCGGTATACCGATTATTTCGCGAGTTTCGTTTTTCACGGGTGTGTGCCGCCACGTTCCTTTTCCACTCGAGTGAAAATTGAGGCACCACACTACTCGAGCATCCTTTTGCGGTGCTCCGGTGACAAAGCACGGACGGAATTCACGGAGTGTGGGGCAAAATAGGACGTCTTTAATTGTGATCGAAGCGGTGAAATTGAAAGGAAAATCACAAATTCGAAAAAAAGAATCAATTCATTTTGCCACATCCACTCCTACATTTTGACTTCGTTTGTTGATTTTTATTTGCGTTTTTATTCACATCAAATGGATAATTTTTTAAATATAAATATGTTTCTGTAATTCGAGGAAGGATTTTATTAGTTGAAAATTATTTTTCATATAATTGAAATAAACATACAAGAATTTCCTACGAACAAATTCTTTCAAAAACTACGTAAAATTCAAACAAAGAGTTTTATGCCATATGAATAACTATTGAATATTAACGAAATACCTCATCAAAAAATTTATTAATCAACGCCAATATGAATCCTACCTCCTCCGAAATCACATCATGTACTTAACCCTCCACATCTTCCACATCTTGTTTAGTCGCCTCTTTAAATCAATTACCCAACAAGTTCCAGCTTCAAGTTCCCCGGCGCAACGGAATTCTGTAGCTCAAGCGAGTGAATACAACATCTGCTCCCATCCCTCCCCCCGGCTCACGCCGTTTCTCTTCCAACCCCTATGATATCTCGTTCCTACTCGCACCTCGAGGAGAGCGATGAGAAGTCTCACCCGTCCAATTGTTTGTTCATCGATTCACAAGATTTGTGATTCAAATCGGAGGAATATTCGAACGCCGATGGAAGCTGAAGATGATTCTGGATTGAAATTCATTTTAAGGAGATGCGCAATCATTAGCACTTTGATTTTGTCGCAGCGGGAGGGGGGAGAAGGCGGGGTAATTAAAAAATAATGTGGGGGGAATTATTTTAGGGCTTTAGTGATGATAAGCAGTATTTTTGGGGAAATATCGAGGATAAATTGATGGAATTGTGGGGATTAAAAAATACGGAAGACTTGATCTTTTTAGGCCGTGACTATTCGCACCATTGCGTGAATCACTCGCGTACACTCCATACACTCCACGCATGCGTGAAGTTTGTGTGTTTCACGCAGTCGAATTTTCATACTGCTGTGTATTTCACAGGAGTATCTGAATACGACTGCGTGAAACACACAGGTGTATAAAAATACAACTGCGTGAGGGTGTAGGAAGTGGAAAAATGCAATCCTGATGTATGAAAATACAACTGCGTAAAACACACAGGCGTATCAAAATG